CAAAGTTTTGTTAACAGTATTATTTTGTTAGCTACAAGCTACGTTACAAAACAGAATTCTGTTTCACTGTACAACTATATGGGAAAAACCATTTCTATAACACGGTTAAAGATAGCCACTAACAGAAGGAATGGCAATGCACAGAAGAGATGTAAAACAAAGCTTGCAGTGCTGGCTGCCTAAATTTGAATCACGGAAGATTTATAATACAGTACAGCAGTTAAATTAATGTTAATGCCGAGCAGTGCTATCGGGCAAACTAACTGTAAAGACACGTTCTCCTATGTGAAAGCTAGCAGGGAAGCTGTGAAACTTTACTGGGCAAGCTGTACATGATTAGGTAAAAAGACATGTATTAATCGCTGTTTTCTGTCAACATTTGTGACATTACGTTATATAAATATCATCCTAGGTTTGATTTTACCTGAAGAGCAGAGTGAGGAGGCCTGCAAGGAAGGTGACACTTAGCACCACAACAAATAAGACTTGGTTGCTGACACCTTCAATGAGGGTGTCCTCATCTTGGATCAGGTAGTCCAGATCCCCGCATTGACTGTCCTCCATCACCCACACTCATAGCCTACAACACTGCAAAACAAAGAGGGGGGGAGAAAGGTTAGCATTTCACTGGACTGCATTCTGCTTTTGATCCCTATCTAATGTAAAATAGTAAAAGAAAAGAACTCTCCTCAAGCCTAAAATGTTATTTAGTATGCATTTAAATTGCTCCTAGCTATTTGGGATCAGCAGGACCCGATAAGTATGAAAAACTTAACACTGTCAACACTAATTAGGCCCTAATGTCCTCAAACGAGACAACAGTAAAGTCCTAGTGTCCTCAAACAAAACGATGATAAAGTCCCAATGTCTTCAGACGAGTACTTCATAATTAACAGCGTCTTATCTTGTTACTGTTGCTAAAATGAATCAAATCTGTCACCATACCAAACTATAGACATTATTAAATATAAATAAACACGTTTCAACCATAAAATGTGATCAGGTTTGGACGAGGACAACAGGTGTTAGTTAAGCAGAATGAAGTATAAGGTCAAGTAAACCCCAAATGTGATGTCCTCAAGAGGACACAGGGTCTAAGGAGGATAAACTGAATTATTACTATGTCCAATATTGATATTATTTGTGGTAGTGTTTCAGTGAGTGTCAACTGCTCTACATAATCTGTAAGATCTCTAAATACTAGTACACAGCCAACTGCTAATGCTGTTCAGTCCTAGTGTTCACCATTTGGGCTCACTATATAGTCAGCAGTGCTACCAGTTTTCCAAATTACTACACAGTGAAGGAATTTTAAGTGGACAAATTGAAAACATAATGGACTTTTAGCAATAGCTGCACAGAGGAACAAAACTAGTCTGACTTAAGTTATACGCTGTCAATGTCCTCAGTGACAGCCAAGTATAAGATGTCCTGTCATTTCTCACTTATCAAACTGCTTCAACAAATTAAGGGTATGAAACCAAGTGTCATTTTCAGTATTAAGTACAAACCTAGAGTCATTACAGCCTTTGTTCCTTCAACATTAGTTTACCAACCTTAGCTACACCATTACTGTGTCTTGAAGCCTTCTTATCGTTAGCATATCTAACACAACTAGCTAGCATTGCTGGACTTAAATCGCATTTACAATTATTATCAAACCTGACAACGTTACTAGAACCACAACATATCTAAGAGGCTGTTGTTGTTTACTTTCCTGTCACTCTCAACCGGCACTGTCTGTCACAAGCGTACAGTTAAGTTACAGTAACGCACTGCTAGCTAAGTTTAGCGTTAGCATGGAGTAGTTAGCTTTAACTCGCTAATGATGCGTTGTAATTCATCTATGAAAACTGCTGACGTTGCTAGCCAACATTGTGTCTTTTCAGGAAGCACAGCAGTCGCTGGACAGTAGCTAGAAATATTACACACCGATAAAAGACAAATAACTGGTCCTGTAAACGCGGGCTCAGCCTGGCCATTATGGCTCGGCTCGTAGCTAAATCATAAACATAGCTACCGTTTTGCCTGGTTATCCAACAACGTCTTGGGTCTGACCACTGCGCTTCTGCCAGGAAGCCCTTTCTGTCAGAAATCTATTCATCTTGAAGCGAAACTTAATCATGAAATCCCTCTCCAACAGGAAGTGATGAAGGCACACTTCTCCCAAAAACCGACAGAAAAGCGTACACTTGGGAAAAGATGGTCATATAAGCCATAACTATACTAGGTATTACGGTAAGAGCGCGAGTTGAAAAGAAAAGCGGTTCAAGCATAATAGAAGCGCAACGGGCAATTTTACACTGATTAACAGGTCAATCAGAAATAATGAAAAATATGAATAACTACAGAACCAACCAACCAACTAAATAAATACATGAGTGAATAAATAAGTAAATTAAAACAAAATGAATAAACATAAATAAGAAATGAATAATAATTAGGGACTGTTCTTAACTAGTCAGAGAAGGGGGGTGGAGTGACGATTATCAATTAAAAAATCCGCTGAGAGGCTGAGTAGGCTCTTAACTGTGTCACGTTCAAAGAAATCTATGCCGTAGTTCAAAGATGCGTTTTTATGATTTATAATGGGATGAAATTAAATTTTACGTGATGTGATGACTCGATTGCAGTTACGGTCAACAAAAAACTCACCGTCTTTGTCTAAAAAGTCGTCACACCAGTGAATGAATGGATAAAATAATGTGAAACCACAGCCGCCTGTGCCAATTACTACTGGAAGTGAAAGTGACCAAAAGATTGTGTGCAGCCTAAACAAATTATAAACAACAAGGGTTAAAGACATATTCTGGCTCCTGTAGGGGGTGTGACTTTTTGTTTTTACCCTCCCCATAGCTACAAATATATTTCCTTGAGCCTCCCTAAGTGACTGGCAGAAAATGCAGAACCTTTCTTCCATCATAAATTAGTTATTAGAGTTATAAATCTTACCCTTTGATGTTTGAAAGTTAAAAGCTGAGGAAGAAATCCTGGAGTTATTTTTCTTCTTTGGTGTTTTACAGCAGTTGGCATCCTTTAAGTTGCATTACTGCTTATATTCGTAACTGCAAACAATTTATTTTTGGCCAAATATTAAATGACACAAACAATAAAAAAATTTTTTGAATGAAATATCCCTATTGTAAGCTCAGATTTGGTTATATTTTTTTCTGACTGAAGCCTTGGTTGTACATGATGTGTCCAAGGACCTATGAAAATTTGAAAATCCAATGATAATTTCTGTATGTACAATTTCTGGCTATGATAAATGGTGTAATTTGGCAATTGTTACAGAAAATGTGTTTTTCTTTAAAAGTTGGTTGCAAAATAAATACAAAATACAACCATTTCAATTCGTATGCCCTTCCCCTTAGCCATAATAAACAACACAAGTCCCTCCATAATGCTTACAAAAAATGTACCACCTCCTCCCTCATAAATAACAAAAAAAAATTCCTTGAATACCTTGACTTAAAAATGACAGCACACCACCTCAGATTATCACTCAGACAATATCAGGACATTCTGATGTGAGGTTTCAAAATTAAGACCCTCTTAAATGTCACATAGGAGCTGTGTTCCCTCTAAATTCAGATTAGATGACTAGGATTATCACAGTGGTATGACTTCATGGGGTAAAGGGTGTTAAAACTCCATGAAGACTAGCTGCTGCTTTGGCTACAGTTATAGGAGATCCTGATAAATTAACTGAAATGAAATGAAAGTAATGTTATTTTAAAGAAAATATGAAATATCAAAGTAGCATCCTAGTATAGCCAAAAAGTATTGATTTATTAGCAGTTTTGCATACAACTGTTGTGCAAATAAACTTATCAATGCTGCTGCAAAAAGACTTACTGGCAGGATGAAAACATGAGTGATTCAACACCACTGGAGGGTTTATAAATAAATAACAGGATTTTGTTGCCCACATCTCTTTAGGCACGGATCATAACTATTCATTACTACTGCATAAACTAATCTGTTGACAGCACCATGGAGTGCATCATCTATATTCTTTGTGGTCAGCTCTAAAACCAGAAACAAAAAAATAATATTACGTTGATGGAAATAGAAAATACATACATATATCAATTAAATGTTGCAGACAAAAATTAAACAACTCTAGCTGACAGGATTTCCATCCTCATCAAAACCTGAAAATTATTTGCTAAAGTACTTTACATGAGAAAATGTGTAAAATACCTGAAACGGATTGTTTAGGTATTGAGCAGTTTTTGATACCCATTCGCAAATTATGATTTATACAGGCAAATAAAGGCATCAACATTAGCAACCAGGGCAGGAGCTTCCAACCTCACATGTACAGTAAGCCAACAGTTGTGAGCGGAACAAAAACAAACACTCCACTGTCGGAACATAATAGTGTAACACCAGCGGAAGTCAACAAAAGAAAGCGCCGGTCGCGTTACCTGCGTTGGAGTTTATTTTAACAGGTTTGTCCATCGGGAAAACCTCCAGTGACGCTTAATTGTGACAAAGCAACAATGTCTACAGTTGAGTATTTGAGAGTGTTTGTCAGCGAGAGACTAACTGCTGCTGCTGTGGAAATATTGGGAGTTTTTGAGAAAACTATCGTCGAGTACGAGAAAGAGATCGACCGTCAGCGCATACTGTTGGATATAGCTTGGAAACCGGAAGTAAAATTAAACAGGAAAGGTGAGTAGCACTTAATTATTTTAATACCACAAAAGAGAAGACTAATATTTATAAAACCAGCTCGCATGTGAGCATTTTCTTGTTTGCCATCAGAGTAATATGTGTTCCTATTATTGAGTGTCCCTCCAGAGCTCCCACAGCAAGATGTGTGTAAGGAGGAGGAGGTTGTCGCTGAGCAGCAGCTCTGTATTGAGGAGAGGAGCTCCAGTGTGGACCAAGAGGAGCCAGAGCCTCCACAGATTAAAGAGGAAGAGGAGGAAGTGTGCAGCAGTCAGGAGGGAGAGCAGCTTGAAGTGAAGCAGGAGACTGAGACCTTTCTAATGACTCCTAATGATGAGGAAAGTGAGCAGCAGCTCCTCTGTCACAGCTCTAAAGGAGCTGAGAGTGAAGATGAGGAAGGAGACGAGCAAGGAGACTCAACATCAACTGGAGAAGCAGAGCCAGAACAACAGAGTCAACATGACGCAAGCAACACTCACACTAACCATGTAGACAACCCCAGCTTGTCAGAGATTGATCATAACACTTGCACAGGTAAAACATCTTTTAAATGTGACACTTGTGGGAAAGTATTCAAGTTTAAGTCTCGGTTAAATTCACACCTGAAAATCCACACAGGAGAGAAGCCGTTTTGTTGTAATACATGTGGGAAAACATTCAATCGAATGTCAACTCTGAAAACTCATAAAAGAATCCACACAGGTGAGAAGCCGTATTGTTGCAACACATGTGGAAAAGATTTCCGATATAAGAGCCACTTGATTGGCCACATGACAACCCACACAGGTGAGAAGCCATTTTCTTGCAACACATGTGGTAAAACATTCAGTCATATGTCAGCTCTAAACACTCACAACAGAGTCCACACAGGTGAGAAGCCGTATTGTTGCAACACCTGTGGGAAAAGATTCAGTCAAAAGGTAACACTGAACATTCACAACAGAGTCCACACAGGTGAGAAGCCATATTGCTGCAAAAAATGTGGAAAGGATTTCCGAGACATTAGTCATTTGACCAGCCACATGAGAACCCACACAGGTGAGAAGCCGTTTAAATGCGATACATGTGGGAGATCTTTTACACATAGAGATCACTTGAAACACCATCTGACAACCCACACAGGCGAGAAGCCATATTCTTGCAGCATCTGTGGGAAACGATTCTCTCTGGCATGGGCCTTGAAAACTCACACAAGAATCCACACAGGTGAGAAGCCGTATCCTTGCAAGACGTGTGGAGAAGCTTTTGGACGCAGTCGGAATTTGTTAGTCCACGTAAGAAGAGCCCACACCGGTGAGAAGCCATACCTTTGCAAGATCTGCGGGAAAAGCTACTTTGATGCATCTCAATTGGCATGTCATATAAAATCACATACAGCCAAGTAGTTTTGCATTTCAAGATATGTAGGAGATGATTCAGATTCTCGTGGTTCATGGTCAAAACATACTTGAAAAAACACCTGACACCTCCTCCCAGCTAACCTTTTTGTTTTGTCTGCAACATTTTATTTGAGAATTTTATATATTATGTAATTGCATCAATGCAGTTTTTTGTGTTTGGAGGTTTTTGAGGTGACCAGAAACAAAAACTGAGATTACGAACTCCATGGTGCTGGATATGAATAGCGAATGAATAATAATGATCTTTACCCAAACGGATGTATGCTACATGTTTTTTTAATCTGATGTTATTAGTACTGATAAAGAGGCTAGCAGTGGGACAGTTTTTCAGGAGCTAGAGTTTTGTAATAGCCTTTTTACTTGCTGCCAGCAGGATCTTTAGGAAACAGATATTATCTTAACTTAGTCCATCAGGGATGTGTCCAAGAATAAAAAAGGATGTGAATGTTGCACTAATAATAAAATTATTCTCTTGGCATTCAACTTGCTTTTCTATTTTTCTATGTTCTATCTATCTGCTTTTCTCCCCGGTGTGGGATCAGTAAAGTTTCTTTTATCTGATCTTGTGTTTTTTTTTTCATATACAATCTTATTTTATCCAATATTATCATGTCTTACCTTATTCTTTTCTTATCTCATCTTATCTTGTCTTATCTAACTTATCTTAATTTTATCTTAGCTTGGCTTATTTCTTATCTTAGCTTATCTCTTATCTTAAAACCCAAAGTTTTTGAAATGATTGTTGCTAGTTCCTTTCAGAGAGTCTGAACAGAAGGACAAGACCAGAAATTATGGACATAGTCAACTATGATTTCGCCACATTCCTTCCAGCAGCATAGCTGGGTGCTAGTTTGTTGAGACACTCCTTTACTACTTCATGTATTTTACACATTTTCCAGCTTCAGGAATTTACGAGGACATAAAAAAATGACCACAGTTCCTATACTGAGGTTACACAATTGATACTGTGCCAACTCATTTCTGCACTGAAACAATGTTCTGTAAAAAAAAGGCCAACAATTGGAGGCGGAACAAAAAAAACCATACTCCCCACTGTCTGAACATATCAGTGTAACATCCAGCGAAAGTAAACAATAGAAACGCACAGTCATTTTTTTAAGTCCTCGTAAAATCCTGAAACTGGAAAATGTGTAAAATACATGAAGTAGTAAAAAAGTGTCTTTAAACAAACTGTCACCCAGCTATGCTGCTGGAAGGAATGTGGAGAAATCATGGTTGACCATGTCAATATTTCTGGTCTTGTCCTTCGATTCAGACTCTCTGAAAGGAATTAGCAACAATAATTTCAAAAACTTTGGGTTTTAAGATAGATAATTTAACATTGGATTAGATGAGATGAGATATAAACTAAGCTAAGCTAAGTTAAACTGATATAAGACTGGATAAGATAAAATAACTTTAAGATAAGAGATAAGATAAGATGAGACAAGAAAAGACAAGAGGTAAGCTAAGTTAAACCGAGGTAAGATTAGATAAGATAGGATCAGATAAGATATCAGCTTAACTAAGACAAGATAAGATTGGATAATTTAAGATAAGCTGAGGTAAGCTTAGTTAAGATAAGATTGAATAAGACAATATAAGATAGGACTAGATAAGGAACAAGCTAAGCTAGTATGAGATAAGATTGGATAAGGTAAAATAAGATAAGCAACAGTAACAGAGCAGAGGCTTCCTGCTTTAGTTAAACTAAGCATAGGAGCTGTTGTGTTGGGTTGTCATTTACCCCCCTGACTGAAATTAAGGTCCTCATCAAAACCTCAAAGGTGGAAATTTTATTTAACAACCATTTGCAAATTAGAGGTTTTATGCAAATAGAGTTATCAACATTACCAACCATTTATTATTGTTAAATCATCACAATACAAAGCTTTAGTGTTTGGATACATAGATGAGTTAAAAAAAAAGAGTCTTCTGTTCAGACTCTCTGAAAGGAACTAACAACAATAATTTCAAAAACTTTGGGTTTTAAGATAGATAATTTAACATTGGATTAGATGAGATGAGATATAAACTAAGCTAAGCTAAGTTAAACTGATATAAGACTGGATAAGATAAAATAACTTAAGCTTAGATAAGACTGGATAAAATAAGAGATAAACTGAGCTAAGACAAGATAAGATAATTTAAGATAAGACAAGAGATAAGACAAGATAAGAGATAAGATTGGATAAGGTAAAATATGATAACATAACATTAGAGATAGGCTAAGATAAGACTGGACAAGATAAAATAGGATAAGACTGGATAAGAGATGAGGTACGCTAAACTAAGCCAAACTAAGCTAAGCTGAGATAAGCTAAGCTTGGCTAAGCTAAGATAAGCTTGGCTGAGCTAAGATTGGATAAGATAATATAGGCAACAGTAACAGAGCAGAGGCTTCCAGAGGGGTATTGCACAAAAGTAGAATAAAGAAATCCAGGATAACAGAGCAAGCGCAGCTTGACCTAGTCTGATCGGCGCATCTTGGCTTAATTGTTTGCACGTTTTCTGAGCCAGGATGAAAAGGTGCGGCTATGTCAAGCCAGGTGTAGATAGTTGGGATAAGTGCACGTTCACGGCATTCTTAAATAGACCACAGGATCGACCACAGAATCACTGAGTGGAAAATGGATAAGAGTCACGCTTCCTATTTTACAGCCGCTGAGCAGCAGCTCCTAATGGAGTCATATGAGGAGCTGAAACACATTATGAGAAAATAAGGAAACACCAGTACTATAATCAAGGGAAGAGAAAAAGCCTGGCAAACAACCGCAGACCAGGTTAATATGTAAGTAGTCCAAAAAAAAAGTACAATTATTAAACAGTAGCCTACTCCACTGGAACTGTTATAATTACAATTAAAGGACTAACGGAGTTAGTTACTTTTCAAGTCCACTAATTAACAGTTGTACACTTTGTCTATTTTATCTATCCACTCTTCATAAAGAACAAACTTGTCTGGGCAAAAAAGGAACTGGCAGCAGGTGAAAATAAAATACATTTTGCAGGCTGGTCAGTGACATTAGTGTAGACAAATGAGGTGATGAGAATATGTGTTTGCTGACATATTGAATGTCTGTATGATTGCAGCAGTCAGAAAAAGGGGTTTGGCACAGGCTTGACATGTCCTGTCAAAATTCTTAATACATGTTGTCTTGGTGCATATATGGCAGGGGGAAGGCACATCTGCAGCTATAGAATGCACATCTGCAGATGAGGAGACGGTGTCACTGGACTCCAGAAGGCTTGAGGTATCATGTCAATTTTGTGGAAATATACTGCTTATTTAGTCCATAATGGATAAGTCAGTGATACGGTGCTAATGGAAAATGTTATGTGTGTAACAGGACCCAGACACTGTACAGCCTCAGAAGCAGCCTGGTAACATTGTGAGTATCGCCTAAAGTAAATCTACATTATGCACAGATCCTGCTGTGCTAATTGACATTTCTTTTACAGAATTCACAAACTGTCAGAGCTCTATATGGAAAACATCTTGCGAGACAGATAGAGCTGGCAGAAGTAAAATTCAAGTGGAGAAAAGAAAGCTGCAAGAAATGGAGCTTGATCTTGAAATTAAAAGAAGGACCCTTGTGAAACTGGACCTAGAAATCCAGAAATTAGAAAGTGAAGTGAGTATTTCAGTGCACACTGTAACCATATCTGTAATACAGTATATTAATAGTTATTACCTTTGCTTTCTATTTCAGGTTCCAAGAATCCTCCCTTTTTCATGAATGTGCAGTATACCATTGATTTGGTGAAGTGGAATTTAAAAGATAACCACACACTGTGTGCTACCAATGCCAGATAAAATGCACATAGCCTACACAGCAAAAAGTAACATACAAGATCCTTTACTGAAGAGAAGCTATATTTGTTGATTTAACCTAAGTGGAAAAATGATGCAACATATTTAGAAAAACCATGGAAATGCTGTAAAACACATAAATTTATCACATGATTGACAGTGAAACTGCCAGATGAATCACTAGGATTAATCTTAGCCTGGTTGTTAGCCTGGTCTGGAGCAGGCTAGCTGCAGAGAATAAACCGCCATAGTAACTTGACCAGGTTAAATTTGACCTGCTTTCATGCACCTGACTTGAGGCTAAGTTCAGCCAGGATAACCAACATATCCCGGCTTAATCCCTTATCTTGGTTTTGTGCAATATCCCTCTGCTGTAGTTAAACTAAGCATAGGAGCTGTTGTGTTGGGTTGACAGTTATCAACATTACCAACCATAATACATGACAATACACAGCTCAGAGAATTGCTGCAGACAAAAAAAGAACTGGTAGGCAGGATGAAAACGTAAGTGATCCAACACCTCTAGAGGGTTTATTATTGTTAAATCATCACAATACAAAGCTTTAGTATTTGGATACATAGATGAGTTAACAAAACAGAACACATCTTTGGGCACAGATCATTAATATTCATTCACATTTCATTACTACTGTATAAGCTGATCTGTTGACAGAACCATGGAGTACATCATCTACAGTTTAGTTTGTAGTCAGCTGTGGCGTTGATGCATTTACAAAATACCCACACAAAAAATATCAAATTAAATGTAGCAGACATAAAAAGACAGGTCTCCAGTTGACATGAGGTGTCAAGAGGTTTTTCAAGTATGTTTTCAATGTGCTGCAATTCTGTGGCTCCTCACTTCTTTGACTTCTTGTGTGTTTTAACCATGAGCCACCAGAACTGAATTGTCTCCTNTTTTAACCATGAGCCACCAGAACTGAATTGTCTCCTATATGATTTTTGAAATACAAGGCTACTTGCCTGTATGTGATTTCATGTGGTTTATCAAACGACACTCATTAAAGTTTTCCCGCAGATCTTGCAAAGTTACGGCATCTCATCGGTGTGGGCTCTTCCTCTGTGGACTAACAAGGTACGGCTCTGTCCAAAATGTTTTCCACAGGTTTTGCAAGGATACGGTCTCTCACCTGTGTGGACTCTCATGTGGACTGACAAATCATAACTGCGTCTGAAATCCTTTCCACATGTCTTGCAAGAATACGGCCTCTCACCTGTGTGGATTCTTGCGTGAACTTTCAACTCTGCTGTCAGAGTGAATCTTTTCCCACAGGTCTTGCAAGGATACGGCTTCTCACCTGTGTGGGTTCTCGTGTGGAATAACAATTGATTACTGCATCTGAAGTTTTTTCCGCATGTCTTGCAAGAATACGGCTTCTCACCTGTGTGGATTCTTGTGTGAGTTTTCAAATCTGTTGTCCGACAGAATCCTTTCCCACAGGTGCTGCAAGAATATGGCTTCTCACCTGTGTGGGTTCTCATGTGGACTGACAATTTATAACTGCATCTGAAGTTTTTACCACATGTGTTGCAAGGAAATGGCTTCTCACCTGTGTGGATTCTTGCATGAATGTTCAGAGTTGACATATGGCTGAATTTTTTCCCACAGGTGTTACAACAATACGGCTTCTCTCCTGTGTGGACCCTCAGGTGTGAAATATAACGAGACTTAAACTTGAAAGCTTTCCCACAAGTGTCACATTTAAAAGGTGTTTTACCTGTGTGAGTATTATGATCAGTCTCTGATAAGTTGGGGTTGTCTACACGCTTCGTGTGACTTCTGCGCTTGTGACGTCTATTCTGTTGTTCTGGCTCTGGTTCTTCAGTTGATGTTGAGTCTCCTTGCTCGTCTCCTTCCTCATCTTCACTCTCAGCTCCATGAGAGCTGTGACAGAGGAGCTGCTGCTCACTTTCCTCATCAGTAGGAGTCACTAGAAAGGTCTCAGTCTCCTGCTTCACTTCAAGCTGCTCTCCCTCCTGACTGCTGCACACTTCCTCCTCTTCCTCTTTAATCTGTGGAGGCTCTGGCTCCTCTTGGTCCACACTGGAGCTCCTCTCCTCAATACAGAGCTGCTGCTCAGCGACAACCTCCTCCTCCTTACACACATCTTGCTGTGGGAGCTCTGGAGGGACACACAACAAAAGGAACACATATTACTCTGATGGCAAACAAGAAAATGCTCACATGCGAGCTGGTTTTATAAATATTAGTCTTCTCTTTTGTGGTATTAAAATAATAAAGTGCTACTCACCTGTCCTGTATAACCTTACTTCCGGTTTCCAAGCTATATCCAACAGTCTGCGCTGACGGTCGATCTCTTTCTCGTACTCGACGATAGTTTTCTCAAAAACTCCCAATATTTCTTCAGCAGCAGCAGTTAGTCTCTCGCTGACAAACCCTCTCAAATACTCAACTGAAGACATTGTTGCTTTGTCACAATTACAGTCACTCCACCTTTTCCTCACGGACAAACCTGCTTAAATTCCCTCGCGACTAGTGCGTTTCTGTTGTTTACTTCCGCCGGATGTTACACTGATAAGTTCCGGCCGTGGGGCGTGTTTTTTTGTTCCCCCTTTAATTGTTTAAAACCAAACCAGCATCAGTGCAGAGACGAGTTGTCCGAATAAAATTTGTTGAACTCAGCAGAGGAACTGTCGCCACTTAATTTTATGTCCCCATCAAATCCTGAATGTGTAAACTACACAAAGTAGTCAAGACACCCACCCTCAAATTATGACATTTACATACAAGTTTCATGACAATAAACTCATCAACATGATCAGCCAATACAATATACAATTAGGAGAAATGCAGCTGTTGCAAACATGAATGAAGAAATAAATAACATTTCAAAAAGGAGGGAAAAGGACTCGCTGTAAGATGAAAACATTATTGATCCAACACTAGAGGGTTTGTTAATTGAAATCATCAACATACAAAGCTTTTCTAACTCTCAGACCTGGAGACACTGTGCTGGAAAAACCTGATCCACTTTTTCATCGCGCCCAAACAGATGTTTAAACAAACTGTCACATGCTGCTGGAAGGAATGTGGAGAAATCATGGTTGACCATGTTCATATTTTCTGTTCTTGTCCTTCTGTTCAGACTCTCTGAAAGGAATTAGCAACAATCATTTCAAAAACTTTGGGTTTTAAAACAAGAGGTAAGATTGGATAATATAACATTGGATTAGACAAGATGAGACAAGATGAGATGAGATGAGATATAAGTTAAGCTAAGTTAAATTGATATAAGATTAGATAAGATAAAATAACTTAAGCTTAGATAAGTTTGGATAAAATACGAGACAAACTGAGCTAAGACAAGATAAGATTGGATAATTTAAGATAAGATAATGTAAGATAATTTAAGATAAGACAAGACAAGAGATAAGCTAAACTAAGATAAGATTGGATAACATAAGATAACATAACATTAGAGATAAGCTGAGCTTAGTTTAGCCAAGATAAGACTGGACAAGATAAAATATGACAAGATAAGATAAGATTGGATAAGAGATGAGGTACGCTAAGCCAAACTAAGCTAAGATTGGATAAGATAAGCTAAGATAAGAAATTAGCTGAGATAAGCTTAGCTCAGATAAGATTGGATATGATAAGATAATTTCAGACAATATAAGTTAGGACAAGATAAGAGACAAGCTGAGCTAAGCTACTCCAAGCTAAGCTAGGATGAGATAAGATACGATAAGTTTGGATGAGAGATAAGCTGAGCTGAGGTACGCTTGGCTAAGCTAAGATAAGATTGGATAAGCTAAGATAGGCAACAGTAACAGAACAGAGGCTTCCTGCTGTAGTTAAACTAAGCATAGGAGCTAAACTCAGGAAACTCCAAGGCACTCTCTTTAGAAAAATTAAAAAGCCTTTATTGTTATAGCTTGGTCATCTTAAACCTTTCAAAATTACGACACGTTTCGGCATACAAGCCTTCGTCAGGGAGTCAAACAGTTTTCAAACTGGAAAAGACTTCCTTAAAAGCTTTCAAACCAGCAATCAGAGGCCTCCACTTGGCAGAAGCAGGTTTAGGTTTGTAGTACTATACAAAGACCACTAGATGTCCTCAATAGAACAGACTTTTCATGACTACATACAAAGGTTACATACAACGCATGCATCACTACAATACATATGGTTTACAGGTCGACAAAAAACAACAAACCAAACACCATAGAAAAAACACAGTTAATCAAAGGAAGACACTAAAATCAAGAACTTAGTTCAGGCCTGGGTATCTAGTAGCCTGCAGTTTGTCAATCCAGAAACTTTCTCTCTGGTTTAGTTGTTTTTGCCCGTCTCCTTTCCTTAGTGACTGTGGTATATGGTCAATCCCACATGCCTGTATGGTGGATGGGTCACTATTATGCTGCTCCATGTAGTGCCTCGCCATAGGATAGTTCATGTTGCCTGTGCGGATTGCAAATTTATGTTCAGCCAGTCTGTCCTGCAAACGTCTCTTTGTTCTTCCTATATAAAACACTTTGCAGTCAGGGCATTCCAGTATATATATATATATATATATAACAAATACAGTTTTACAGTTTATGAAATGCTTAATGGTAAATTGTTTTTGGGATACAACATCACCAAAGGTTTTGGTCTGTAATACATTTGTACAATGATTGCAGCGATGACATTTGTAAGACCCTTTGGGCTTAGATCCCAACCACATTTGTTGGCCTTCTGGTTTCAAATGGCTGTGGACCAGTTTGTCTAGAATCGTAGGACATCTCCTGAAGGTGACCAGAGGTGACTCAGGAAACATCTGGCCGACCACATCATCACTTTCAATAATACCCCAATTTTTTCTTATCATTCTCTTAATTTGTTCTGCCTCTGTACTATATGTAGTGACAAAAATGGGCCTGTCTTTTGTTGGCTTAGGTGGATTTCTTTGTAGAAGTGATGCCCTGTCTGCATGTTTGGCCCTGGTGGATGCTTTCTGGAGAGTTGTGCTTTCGTAACCCCGTTCCTTAAAACGTGACATCATCTCTTGTGCTTTACACTCAAAAGCATTATCTTGGTCACAAATTCTCCTGACTCTCTGGAATTGCCCATAAAGAACATTTTCCTTCAGCCACTTAGGGTGGAAGCTTTTAGCATGCAGAATGGTGTTCCCATCAGTAGGTTTTCTAAATACTGAAGTGTGTAGGGCACCATGATTGTCTTTAAAGATAGTCAGGTCAAGGAAATTAATACAATCTTTACTATATTCCACAGACAGTTTAATGTTGGGATGAATGCAATTCAAAAAAGCATGAAAATCTTTCAACTCTGCCTCTGACCCAGACCAAAACAAACAAACATCATCAATTAAACGTCCCCACAAGACAATGCATTTGAAGTACGCATTCTTTTCCTGATTCAAGACAAAGTCTTCTTCCCACTTTCCCAGAAACAGACCTGCATATGATGGGCTGTAGCAGGCCCCCATGGGACAACCTTTTATCTGTTTGAAAGTCTTATCCTGGAAGATGAAGACATTAATATTCAATGTCCATTCAGTTAATGACAGTAAGAAATCAGTGGGTGGCATTTCCGACTCAGGTCTCTTACTCAAAAAATGTGTCAGAGATGCAAGACCCTGTGTGTGTGTTCAATGTTAGTGTACAATGCTTCTATAGTGACTAGATATGTGTCAGAGCCACTATTTTGTAGTTGTGTGATCTTATTCAGAACATCTGTGGTGTCTTGGACAAATGCCAGAAGTGAAGGCAAAAGAGGTTTGATAAAAAAGTCAATGAACTTAGAGACTGGTTCAGTGAGACTGTCATTTCCAGAGATCACAGGTCTCCCTGGAGGGTTCTCAACACACATATGGATCTTGGGTAGCATGTAGAATGATGCCACTCTTGGGTTTTCATTCCACAAGAAACCAAGTTCAGATTCAGAGATCCAGTCATTGTATTTGGCCACATGTAGTAGTTGTCTCAGTTCCTCTTTAAGAGACTCAGTAGGGTTAAATGTCAGTGGTTGATAAAACTCTGTGTTGTTTAACTGATGGAAAGCCTCTTTTACATACATGTCCTTTCCACAAATTACTATAGCACCACCTTTAACTGAATTTTTAATTACTAGATCACTGTCATTGGATAGTGTTTCCAAAGCCTTCTTTTCAGTGTGAGACAGATTACTTTGCCTGGGTGCTCTTTTATGCTTGAATAAAATTTCAATGTCACAGTTCACCTTTATAGCAAATGCATTTAATGCAGTATTCGCCAGAGATGTTGATTGCGACTCGTGTCTGGTTGTGCTCCATGTCTAACTATCCTATGGCGAGGCACTACATGGAGCAGCATAATAGTGACCCATCCACCATACAGGCATGTGGGATTAACCATATACCACTGTCACTCAGGAAAGGAGATGGGCATAAAACTTAAAAAACTAGGCATGCAAAATAAGTACAAAATTACAAGAAACGGTGATAATAACAATAATAATAATAACAATGAGAAGTGAATAATAATGAGCAGCAGTGAATGAAAATGAGCAGTGGATAAAGGGAGCACATCTAGTGCAAGTGATTGTGACAGCTGTGGTGTCCATAAAGTATATAGCTTTTGCTATATATGATTGTCCCACACAAAGAGCACCTCAAGCAAACAATTTGAGTCCTGGAAGTGTTCCCCTACAGACATTTTGGAAGCATAGGAGCTGTTGTGTTGGGTTGTCATTTACCCCCGACTGAATTTAAGGTCCTCATCAAAACCTCAAAGGTGGAAATTTTATTTAACTCCAGTACTGTGCTCATGAAAATGTGTGAAACACTTGTTATGGAGTGTCTTAATTTTGAGCAGTTTTTGACACCCATTCCCGAATTAGGGGTTTTATGCAAATAGAGTTATCAACATTACCAACCATAATACATGACAATACACAGCTCAGAGAAATGCTGCAGACAAAAAAAGAACTGGTAGGCAGGATGAAAACGTAAGTGATCCAACACCTCTAGAGGGTTTATTATTGTTAAATCATCACAATACAAAGCTTTAGTATTTGGATACATAGATGAGTTAAAAAAGAGAACACATGTCTTTGGGCACAGATCATTAATATTCATTCACTTTTCATTACTACTATATAAGCTGATCTGTTGACAGCACCATGGAGTACATCATCTACAGTTTAGTTTGTAGTCAGCTGTGGCGTTGATGCATTCACAAAATACCAAAAAATATCAAAATAAAGATCACACACACAAAAAAAAGACAAGACCTGAGTTGGCAAGACGTGTTGGGAGTTTTTTTAAGTGTGTTTTTCAACATGCTATTATTCTGTGGCTCCTCACTTCTCTGAGTTCCTGTGAATTTAAACCATGAGCCATGAGAACTGAATTGTCTCCTATATGTTTTCTGAAATACAAGGCTACTTGCCTGTATGTGATTTCATGTGCCTTGTTAAATGGGACCCATTAAAGTATCTTTTCCCGCAGATCTTGCAAAGGTATGGCTTCTCACCGGTGTGGGCTCTTCCAATGTGGACTAACAAGGTACTGCTCCGTCGAAAATCTTTTCCACAGGTTTTGCAAGAATGCGGTCTCTCAGCTGTGTGGACTCTCATGTGGACTAACAAGGCATTATTATGTCGAAAATGTTTTCCACAGGTCTTGCAGGAATATGGCTTCTCACCTGTGTGGATTCTTGCGTGAATTTTCAAATGTGTTGTCCGAGAGAATCCTTTCCCACATGTGCTGCAAGAATATGGCTTCTCACCTGTGTGGAATGTCAGGTGTTCTTTCAAGAGAGCTCTTTGTGTGAAATCTTTCCCACATGTCTCACATTCAAACGGCTTCTCTCCTGTGTGGATTCTCATGTGGCGAATCAAGTGACTCTTACTTCGGAAATCTTTTCCACACGTGTTGCAACAATACGGCTTCTCACCTGTGTGGACTCTTTTATGAACGTTCAGAGTTGACATTCGATTGAATGTTTTCCCACATGTATTACAACAATACGGCTTCTCTCCTGTGTGGATTCTCAGGTGTCTATCAAAACGAGACTTAAACTTGAAAGCTTTCCCACAAGTGTCACATTTAAAAGGTATTTTACCTGTGTGAGTATTATGATCAATCTCTGATAAGTTGGGGTTGTCTACACGCTTAGTGTGACTTCTGCGCTTCTGACGTCTATTTTGTTGTTCTGTCTCTGCTTCTCCACTTGATGTTGAGTCTCCTTGCTCGTCTCCTTCCTCATCTTCACTCTCAGCTCCATGAGAGCTGTGACAGAGGAGCTGCTGCTCACTTTCCTCATCACTAGGAGTCACTAGAAAGGTCTCAGTCTCCTGCTTCACTTCAAGCTGCTCTCCCTCCTGACTGCTGCACACTTCCTCCTCTTCCTCTTTAATCTGTGGAGGCTCTGGCTCCTCTTGGTCCACACTGGAGCTCCTCTCCTCAATACAGAGCTGCTGCTCAGCGACAACCTCCTCCTCCTTACACACATCTTGCTGTGGGAGCTCTGGAGGGACACACAACAAAAGGAACACATATTACTCTGATGGCAAACAAGAAAATGCTCACATGCGAGCTGGTTTTATAAATATTAGTCTTCTCTTTTGTGGTATTAAAATAATAAAGTGCTACTCACCTGTCCTGTATAACCTTACTTCCGGTTTCCAAGCTATATCCAACAGTCTGCGCTGACGGTCGATCTCTTTCTCGTACTCGACGATAGTTTTCTCAAAAACTCCCAATATTTCTTCAGCAGCAGCAGTTAGTCTCTCGCTGACAAACCCTCTCAAATACTCAACTGAAGACATTGTTGCTTTGTCACAATTACAGTCACTCCAACTTTTCCTCATGGACAAACCTGCTTAAATTCCCTCGCGACTGGTGCGTTTAAATTGTTTACTTCCGCCGGATGTTGCACTGATAAGTTCCGACTGTGGGGCGTGTGTTGTTTTTTTGTTCCCTCTTTAATTGTTTAAAATCAAACCGGCATCAGTGCAGAACAAGTTGTCATAAGGACAAACAAACCTGCTTGAACTAAGTCAATGAAACAATACAGAAAACGGGACCGTTGAAATTATTTTGCTTACTTCCGCCGGGTGTTACACTCTCAAGTTTCGACAGTAATGTATTTTTCGTTCCGCCCTCAACTGTCGGCATTTTTACTGAACATTTGTTTAACCCCAGCGTCAGGGTTGAAATTACTTGTAAAATATTTGTAATGGAGTGTTTCACCTATGAGTAGATTTTTGACACCCATTTGCAAATCGTGATTTTTGCATGAAAGTACTGTGCAAATAAACTTATCAACCATAACAACACAATGGACAATATACACAGCTAAAAACAATCAGGAAACATTTAGTCATCACAGTATAACAGCAAATCAGATAAACTTCAGGGATATCAATCTGTCCATTTAGGAAGCACAAGTGATCGTGAATCAGTTTCAGCTGCTTTGGTGCCAATCAAAGTGACAACAGGTGCAATGGAGAGGCAAAAGCAAGACAACTCCCAAAAAAAGTAAGATTTCACATGTGGTGTCCACAGACAGTTGCTCTCTCCTTATCCCTCCTGACTGATTCTTCTCTAGTTTTGTGTTCTGCTAGTGTCCTTGTCACTACTGGTAGTATGAGGTGGTACCTGCAGCCCAATCAGGTTGCACAGGTAGTCCAGCTCCTCCAGGATGGCACATCCATATGTGTGGTTGCAAGGAGGTTTGCTGTGTCTCCCAGCACAGTCTCAAGAGCATGGAGGAAATAAGGAGACAAGGAGAGCTGGACAGGGCCGTAGAAGGGCATCAACCCAGCAGCAGGACCAGTATCTGCTACTCTGTGTGAGGAGGAACAGGAGGAGCACTGCCAGAGTCCTACAAAATGACCTCCAGCAGGCTACTGGCGTGCATGTTTCTGACCAAACTGTCAGAAACAGCCTCCATGAGAGTTGCTTGAGGGCCCGACGTCGTTTAGAGGGACCTGTGCTGACAGCCCAGCACCGTGCAGCTCGATTGGCATTCACCAGACATCAGAGTGACTGACGATTTTGGTTTCTACCAACCGCTGCTACATCATTTTGTTCTCAACAAATTATACAATGTACATTAGTAAAGATTTTCAAATTGAATAATTTCTTCATCAAGATCTGGTGTGTCATTTAGGTGTTACCTTAATTTTTAATAAAATTTTTAACAAATAAGAAAGATGCTGGAAAAAAAAGACTTGATGGCAGGATGACAAAATGAGTGATGCACACTCCCAGTTTATTAAATGAAATCATCATCATTCAAAGCTTTATCAATAGAGTGTATACATTAGATTAAAAAAATATTTACACATGTCCCTCTGGGCACAGATCATTAATATTCATTCACTTTTCATTACTACTTTATAAGCTGATCTGTTGACAGCACCATGGAGTACATCATCTACAGTTTAGTTTGTAGTCAGCTGTGGCGTTGATGCATTTACAAAATACCAAAAAATATCAAATTAAATGTAGCATACAAAAAAAGACAGGTCTCCAGTTGACATGAGGTGTCAAGAGGTTTTTCAAGTATGTTTTTCAATGTGCTGCAATTCTGTGGCTCCTCACTTCTTTGACTTCTTGTGTGGTTTAACCATGAGCCACCAGAACTGAATCATCTCCAATATGATTTTTGAAATACAAGGCTACTTGCCTGTATGTGATTTCATGTGGTTTATCAAATGACACTCAAAGTATCTTTTCCTGCAGATCCTGCAAACAAACGCTTTTTACCTGTGTGGACTCTTGTCATGTGGTCTGACAAGTTTCCACTCTGTTTAAAAAATTTTCCACAGGTTTTGCAAGAATAAGGCTTCTCACCTGTGTGGACTCTCATGTGAGTTCTCAAATATGTTGTCCGAAAGAATCCTTTCCCACAGGTGCTGCAAGAAAATGGCTTCCCTCCCGTGTGGGTTCTCATGTGGCAAATCAAGTGACTCGTATATCGAAAATCTTTTCCACATGTTTTGCAACAATAAGGCTTCTCACCTGTGTGGACTCTTTTATGAGCTTTTAGAGTTGACATCAGACTGAATGTTTTCCCACATGTGCTGCAAGGAAATGGCTTCTCTCCTGTGTGGGTTCTCATGTGGCGAATCAAGTGACTCTTATATCGAAAATCTTTTCCACATGTGTTGCAATAATATGGCTTCTCACCTGTGTGGACTCTTTTATGAACGTTCAGAGTTGACATATGACTGAATGTTTTCCCACATGTGTTACAACAATACGGCTTCTCTCCTGTGTGGATTCTCAGGTGTAAATTGAAACGAGACTGAAACTTGAAAGCTTTCCCACAAGTGTCACATTTAAAAGGTGTTTTACCTGTGTGAGTATTATGATCAATCTCTGATAAGTTGGGGTTGTCTACACGCTTAGTGTGACTTCTGCGCTTCTGACGTCTATTCTGTTGTTCTGTCTCTGCTTCTCCACTTGATGTTGAGTCTCTTTGCTCGTCTCCTTCCTCATCTTCACTCTCAGCTCCATGAGAGCTGTGACAGAGGAGCTGCTGCTCACTTTCCTCATCATTAGGAGTCACTAGAAAGGTCTCAGTCTCCTGCTTCACTTCAAGCTGCTCTCCCTCCTGACTGCTGCACACTTCCTTCTCTTCCTCTTTAATCTGTGGAGGCTCTGGCTCCTCTTGGTCCACACTGGACTTCCTCTCCTCGATACAGAGCTGCTGCTCAGCGACAACCTCCTCCTCCTTACACACATCTTGCTGTGGGAGCTCTGGAGGGACACACAACAAAAGGAACACATACTACTCTGATGGCAAACAAGAAAATGCTCACATGCGAGCTGGTTTTATAAATATTAGTCTTCTCTTTTGTGGTATTAAAATAATAAAGTGCTACTCACCTGTCCTGTATAACCTTACTTCCGGTTTCCAAGCTATGTCCAACAGTCTGCGCTGACGGTCGATCTCTTTCTCGTACTCGACGATAGTTTTCTCAAAAACTCCCAATATTTCTTCAGCAGCAGCAGTTAGTCTCTCGCTGACAAACCCTCTCAAATACTCAACTGAAGACATTGTTGCTTCATCACAATTACAGTCACTCCAACTTTTCCTCATGGACAAACCTGCTTAAATTCCCTCGCGACTGGTGCGTTTAAATTGTTTACTTCCGCCGGATGTTGCACTGATAAGTTCCGACTGTGGGGCGTGTGTTGTTTTTTTGTTCCCTCTTTAATTGTTTAAAATCAAACCGGCATCAGTGCAGAACAAGTTGTCCTAAGGACAAACAAACCTGCTTGAACTAAGTCAATGAAACAATACAGAAAACGGGACCGTTGAAATTATTTTGCTTACTTCCGCCGGGTGTTACACTCTCAAGTTTCGACAGTAATGTATTTTTCGTTCCGCCCTCAACTGTCGGCATTTTTACTGAACATTTGTTTAACCCCAGCGTCAGGGTTGAAATTACTTGTAAAATATTTGTAATGGAGTGTTTCACCTATGAGTAGATTTTTGACACCCATTTGCAAATCGTGATTTTTGCATGAAAGTACTGTGCAAATAAACTTATCAACCATAACAACACAATGGACAATATACACAGCTAAAAACAATCAGGAAACATTTAGTCATCACAGTATAACAGCAAATCAGATAAACTTCAGGGATATCAATCTGTCCATTTAGGAAGCACAAGTGATCGTGAATCAGTTTCAGCTGCTTTGGTGCCAATCAAAGTGACAACAGGTGCAATGGAGAGGCAAAAGCAAGACAACTCCCAAAAAAAGTAAGATTTCACATGTGGTGTCCACAGACAGTTGCTCTCTCCTTATCCCTCCTGACTGATTCTTCTCTAGTTTTGTGTTCTGCTAGTGTCCTTGTCACTACTGGTAGTATGAGGTGGTACCTGCAGCCCAATCAGGTTGCACAGGTAGTCCAGCTCCTCCAGGATGGCACATCCATATGTGTGGTTGCAAGGAGGTTTGCTGTGTCTCCCAGCACAGTCTCAAGAGCATGGAGGAAATAAGGAGACAAGGAGAGCTGGACAGGGCCGTAGAAGGGCATCAACCCAGCAGCAGGACCAGTATCTGCTACTCTGTGTGAGGAGGAACAGGAGGAGCACTGCCAGAGTCCTACAAAATGACCTCCAGCAGGCTACTGGCGTGCATGTTTCTGACCAAACTGTCAGAAACAGCCTCCATGAGAGTTGCTTGAGGGCCCGACGTCGTTTAGAGGGACCTGTGCTGACAGCCCAGCACCGTGCAGCTCGATTGGCATTCACCAGACATCAGAGTGACTGACGATTTTGGTTTCTACCAACCGCTGCTACATCATTTTGTTCTCAACAAATTATACAATGTACATTAGTAAAGATTTTCAAATTGAATAATTTCTTCATCAAGATCTGGTGTGTCATTTAGGTGTTACCTTAATTTTTAATAAAATTTTTAACAAATAAGAAAGATGCTGGAAAAAAAAGACTTGATGGCAGGATGACAAAATGAGTGATGCACACTCCCAGTTTATTAAATGAAATCATCATCATTCAAAGCTTTATCAATAGAGTGTATACATTAGATTAAAAAAATATTTACACATGTCCCTCTGGGCACAGATCATTAATATTCATTCACTTTTCATTACTACTTTATAAGCTGATCTGTTGACAGCACCATGGAGTACATCATCTACAGTTTAGTTTGTAGTCAGCTGTGGCGTTGATGCATTTACAAAATACCAAAAAATATCAAATTAAATGTAGCATACAAAAAAAGACAGGTCTCCAGTTGACATGAGGTGTCAAGAGGTTTTTCAAGTATGTTTTTCAATGTGCTGCAATTCTGTGGCTCCTCACTTCTTTGACTTCTTGTGTGGTTTAACCATGAGCCACCAGAACTGAATCATCTCCAATATGATTTTTGAAATACAAGGCTACTTGCCTGTATGTGATTTCATGTGGTTTATCAAATGACACTCAAAGT